AAATGGTCGCCTAGCAAACCTCAGAACAGTCATTCCGACATCTAATAAGGAAATCAATCAGTACCCTGTACAACCGTGTATGTTTAGGCCCATATGGAGTATGCGGCACCAGTTTGGAACCCACACCTAGCCAAGCACGTGACATAAACTAAGAGAAGTGCAAAAGGTTTGCAACACTCAGAACTAGTCCCAGACTAAGAGTTTTGTCCTAACTAAAAACCACTGAGAGCGTTAAGGGAAACTCAACCTGACCGACACCTGGAGGACAGGATAGATAGGGGGTACATGATAACGACATACCAAAATAACTGAGAGAGAATGACAAGGTGGACAAAGACAGGGAGTTCCAGAGATTGACACAGACTAAACCAAGGGTAAACAGATGGAAGCTGAAGACACAGATCAATCACCAGGGATGTGTCTTGAAGGACGTATTTCTTTCAGCCACAGAGTAGTCATAAGTGGTGAATAGTTTGGGAAGCGATGTATTGGTAGGCAGGATCGCATACAAGAGCATAAAGCAGAGTATGATAAAGCATCACGCACAGGGACGAGTGACCTAGTAGCGATCATTGAAGGTAGGCGGGCCAGGAGCTCGACTCAACCCCCCAACCACAACTAGGTGAGTACAACTCAGTGTGAGTACAGCAGCAGGAGCAGCAGCAACAACAGCAACAACAACAGCAGACAGCATGCAGCATGAGCGCAGCAACAACAGCAACAACCTCTCGCAGACAGCAGCAGCAGGAAGACAGAGCATACAACAGCAACAACACAGCAGACAGCACAGCAGAGCGGAGCAACGAACAACAGCAACAACAAACAGCAAACAGCAAGCAGCAGGAGCAGCAGCAACAACAGCAGCAACAACAACAACAACAACAGCAACAACAACAGCAGACAGCAGCAGCAGGAGCAGCAGCAACAACAGCAACAACAACAGCAGACAGCAGCAGCAGGAGCAGCAGCAACAACAGCAGCAGCAACAACAACAACAACAGCAGCAGCAACAACAGCAGACAGCAGCAGCAGCAGACAGACCAGTCAGTCTGCTGGAGTCTGCTGAGCAGTGAGGTACTGTCTCTCACTCTCTCCTACCTTCCCTACCTCACCTACCCACCTAGGCCTCTCCTCCTAGGTCTCTCCAGCAGGCCTTCCCTCCCATAGGCCTTCAGACAGCAATTAAACAGCTCTTAAACAGCCCCTAAACAGCCCTTCAACAGCTGTCTGTCTAAAAGTTAACAGTGACGCGTTTGACTGCGTATTTGTCTTAGAAAGCTGTTTTGAAGGCTGTTTAGACAGCTAGGCTGTCTAGAAAACTGTGAAACTGGCCTTTCTTGTGCTGTTTTCTAAGAATTTTGACATTGAAGGCCTCTAATATGCTTAGAATTGAGAAATATCAGTGTTGACAACATTCAAAGTTTTTAGAAATGCGTTTTGAATGTTGTTTAGACAGCTATGCTGTCTAGAAAGGTGTGCAACAGGTCCTTCTAGTGCTGTTTCGAATTTGAAGGCCTCTAAAGTGCTTAGAAATTAGAAATATTTGCGTATACAACCTTCAAAGTTTTTAGAAATGCGTTTTGAAGGCTGTTTAGACAGCTAGAAAGATGTTAAACAGGTCCTTCTAGTGCTTTTTCCAAGGAATTTTGACATTGAAGGCCTCTAGAATTTAGAAATATCTACATTTAAAACCTTCAAAGTTCGTTTTAAAGACTATTTAGATAGCCAGGCTCTTTAGAAAGCTGTTGCTCTTTCAGTGAAATTTGCATTTTGAAAGATTCTGAAGTGCTTAGAACTTAGAATTATTCCCGTTTAGAACCGTCAAAACTATTAAACGTTTTGAGGATATCTAGAAAGGTAAGCTGTCTAGAAAGCTGTGAAAATAAGCTTTCTTTCACGGCTTAGCCACCACTTTGAAAGCCGGGCTTTCTAAGTCCCTTAGAACTTAGAATTTCTAGCTTTTCTTCATTTCAAAAGTCTTAGAAAGTTACTTTGAGACGATTTAGAAGTAATTTTGAGATGATTTAGAAAGCTAAACTTCTAGAAAGTCACTTTTAGACAATTTACAGAAGTTATAAGCTTTCTAAAGTTCTTAGAAAAGTCTTAGAAGTGTTTCTAAGTCTTTCTAAGTTGTTTTGAAAATCTTCAAAATCTTTCTAAGTTGCTTTGAAAATCTTCAAAATCTTTCTAAGTTGCTTTGAAAATAATCAAATTATTTCGAAGTTCTTCAAGGTTCCTTAGAAAATCTTCAAAGTGCTTCTAAGTTGCTTTGAAAATCTGTAAAGTGTTTCTAAGTTGCTTTGAAATTCTTCAAAGTGTTCCTAAGTTGCTTTGAAGATTATCTTCAAAGCATTTCTAGATTGTTCTAAGTTGTTCAAAGTTGCTTTGAAAATCATCAGCGTGTTTCTAAGTTACTTTGAAAATTATCAAACTGTTTCTAAGTTTTTCTAAGTTGCTTTGAAAATCTTCAAAGTGTTTCTAAGTTGCTCTAAGTTGCTTTGAAAATCTCAAATGTTTCAAAGTTGCTCTAAGTTGCTTTGAAAACCTTCAAAGTGTTTCTAAGTTGCTCTAAGTTGCTTTGAAAATCTTCAAAGTGCTTCTAAGTTGCTCTAAGTTGCTTTGAAAATCTTCAAAGTGCTTCTAAGTTGCTTTGAAAAAACATCAAAGTGCTTCTAAGTGTTTCTAAGTTGCTTTGAAAATCTTCAAAGTGCTTCTAAGTTGCTTTGAAAATCATCAAAGTGTTTCTAAGTGTTTCTAAGTTGCTTTGAAGATCATCAGCGTGTTTCTAAGTTGTTCTAAGCCAGGTTTGTTTCCTCAGTGATAATAATCAACATTGTGGGCTTGATCTCCGGTTCAAAATGTTCCTCGAGTAAAATTTAGTGAAACATGATTCAAAAATGAGCGAAACTGAGAGTGAAACACTCTTAAAGGAGTGAAACTAGCAGTGATATAATCTTAAAAGTCTGAAACTACCAGTGATACACTCTTTAAAGTCTGAAACTACCAGTGATACACTCTTAAAAGTCTGAAACTACCAGTGATATATTTTTAAAAGTCTGAAACTACCAGTGATACACTCTTAAAAGTCTGAAACTACCAGTGAAACAATCTTAAAAGTCTGAAACTACCAGTGATACAATCTTAAAAGTCTGAAACTACCAGTGATACAATCTTAAAAGTCTGAAACTGCCAGTGATACAATCTTAAAAGTCTGAAACTACCAGTGATACACTCTAAAAAGTCTGAAACTGCCAGTGATACAATCTTAAAAGTCTGAAACTACCAGTGATACATTCTTAAAAGTCTGAAACTACCAGTGATACAATCTTAAAACTCTGAAAACTACCCGTGATACAATCTTAAAAGTCTGAAACTGCCATGATACAATCTTAAAAGTCTGAAACTACCAGTGATCAATCTTAAAAGTCTGAAACAAACCCGTGATACAATCTTAAAAGTCTGAAACTACCAGTTTTACAATCTTAAAAATCTGAAAGTACCAGTGATACAATCTTAAAAGTCTGAAACTACCATGATACAATCTAAAATCTGAAACTACCATGATACAATCTTAAAAGTCTGAAACTACCAGTGATACAATCTTAAAAGTCTGAAACTACCAGTGATACGCTCTTAAAAGTCTGAAACTACCAGTGATACAATCTTAAAAGTCTGAAACTACCAGCGATATAATGTTAAAAGTCTGAAACTATCAGTGATACACTCTTAAAAGTCTGAAACTACCAGTGATACACTCTTAAAAGTCTGAAACACCAGTGATACGCTCTAAAAGTCTGAAACTACCAGTGATACACTCTTAAAAGTCTGAAACTACCAGTGATACAATCTTAAAAGTCTGAAACTACCAGTGATACAATCTTAAAAGTCTGAAACTACCAGTGATACGCTCTTAAAAGTCTGAAACTACCAGTGATACACTCTTAAAAGTCTGAAACTACCAGTGATACAATCTTAAAAGTCTGAAACTACCAGTGATACAATCTTAAAAGTTTGAAACTACCGGTGATACAATCTTAAAAGTCTGAAACTACCAGTGATACAATCTAAAAAGTCTGAAACTACCAGTGATACAATCTTAAAAGTCTGAAACTACCAGTGATACAATCTTAAAAGTCTGAAACTACCGGTGATACAATCTTAAAAGTCTGAAACTACCAGTGATACAATCTTAAAAGTCTGAAACTACCAGTGATACAATCTTAAAAGTCTGAAACTACCAGTGATACAATCTTAAAAGTCTGAAACTACCAGTGATACGCTCTTAAAAGTCTGAAACTACCAGTGATACACTCTTAAAAGTCTGAAACTACCAGTGATACAATCTTAAAAGTCTGAAACTACCAGTGATAACAATCTAAAAGTTCTGAAACTACCATGATACAATCTTAAAAGTCTGAAACTACCGTGATACAATCTTAAAAGTCTGAAACTACCAGTGATACATATCTTAAAAGTCTGAAACTACCATGATACAATCTTAAAGTCTGAAACTACCAGTGATACAATCTTAAAAGTCTGAAACTACCAGTGATACAATCTTAAAAGTCTGAAACTACAATGAATACAATCTTAAAAGTCTGAAACTACCAGTGATACAATCTAAAAAGTCTGAAACTACCAGTGATACAATCTTAAAAGTCTGAAACTACCAGTGATACAATCTTAAAAGTCTGAAACTACCAGTGATACAATCTTAAAAGTCTGAAACTACCGTGATACAATTAAAAGTCTGAAACTACCATGATACAATCTAAAAAGTCTGAAACTACCAGTGATACAATCTTAAAAGTCTGAAACTACCATGATACAATCTTAAAAGTCTGAAACTACAATGATACATCTTAAAAGTCTGAAACTACCAGTGATACAATCTAAAAGTCTGAAACTACCATTGATACAATCTTAAAAGTCTGAAAACTACCATGATATACAATCTTAAAGTCTGAAACTACCAGTGATACAATCTTAAAAGTCTGAAACTACCGGTGATACAATCTTAAAAGTCTGAAACTACCAGTGATACAATCTAAAAAGTCTGAAACTACCAGTGATACAATCTTAAAAGTCTGAAACTACCAGTGATACAATCTTAAAAGTCTGAAACTACCAGTGATACGCTCTTAAAAGTCTGAAACTACCAGTGATACAATCTTAAAAGTCTGAAACAGTGTTTCAGTGACAAAGTCTGACAGTCCACAAGCTGACTATTATCTATCAATTTGAAAGGTAAGTCTACTTTTATATTACTATATTATTATTATTATTATTAATATATTATATTATTATTATTATTATTATTATTAATATTATTATTATTATTATTATTTATTAAATTTTTATTTTTATTATTTTTATTATTATATATTATTATTATTATTATTATATTATTATTATTATTATTATTATTATTATTATAAATTTTTATTATTATTATTATTAATATTATTATTTTTATTAATTATTATTATTTTTATTTAATATTATTATTATTATTATTATTATTATTATTATTATTTTTATTATTATTATTATTATTTTTAATATTATTATTAATTATTTTTATTATTATTATTATATTAAATTTTTATTAATTATTATTATATTATATATTTTTTATTTAAATTTTTTATATTATTATTATTATTAAAAAATTAAATTTAATATATTATTATTATTATTATTATTATTATTATTATTATATTATTATTATTATTAATTTTTAAGAAGGTCAGTAGAGAGAGTAGACAGGCTGGTCTATCAGTCAGGGATGACTTCCTTTACGTACATGACTGTGTAAACCCGTACGTGGGTGCACACATGTGTGTGTGTGTGTGTGTGTGTGTGTGTGTGTGTGTGTGGGTGTTTGTGTGTGTTTGTGTGTGTACTCACCTAATTGTGGATGCAGGGGTCATGTCACAGCTCCTGACCCCTCCTCTTCACTAGTCGCTACTATGTCACTCTTCCTGCTTCGTGAGCTTTATCATACCTCTTCTTAAAGCTATGTATGGATCCTGCCTCCACTACATCACTACCCAGACTGTTCCACGTCCTGACAACTCTGTGACTGAAGAAATACTTCCTTCTGTCACAGTCTTCTAGGTGCTCCACCAGTCTTCTAGGTGCTCCACAAGTCTTCTAGGTGCTCCACCAGTCTTGTAGATGCTCCACCAGTCTTCTAGGTGCCCCACCAGTCTTCTAAGTGTTCCACCAGTCTTCTAGGTGCTCCACCAGTCTTCTAGGTGCTCCACAAGTCTTCTAGGTGCTCCACCAGTCTTGTAGATGCTCCACCAGTCTTCTAAGTGCTCCACCAGTCTTCTAAGTGCTCCACCAGTGTTCTAGGTGCTCCATCAGTCTTCTAGGTGCTCCACCAGTCTTCTAGGTGCTCCACCAGTCTTCTAAGTGCTCCACCAGTCTTCTAAGTGCTCCACCAGTCTTCTAGGTGTTCCACCAGTCTTCTAGGTGCGCCTTCAGTCTTCTAGGTGCTCCACCAGTCTTCTAGGTGCGCCTCCAGTCTTCTAGGTGCTCCACCAGTCTTTAGGTGTCCTCCAGTTTCTAGGTGCTCCACCAGTCTTCTAGGTGCTCCACCAGTCTTCTAGGTGCTCCACCAGTCTTCTAGGTGCGCCTTCAGTCTTCTAGGTGCTCCACCAGTCTTCTAGGTGCTCCACCAGTCTTCTAGGTGCTCCACCAGTCTTCTAGGTACTCCACCAGTCTTCTAGGTGCTCCACCAGTCTTCTAGGTGCTCCACCAGTCTTCTAGGTGCTCCACCAGGCTTCTAGGTGCTCCACCAGTCTTCTAGGTGCTCCACCAGTCTTCTAGGTGCTCCACCAGTCTTCTAGGTGCGCCTTTCCCTTCTTCTAGGTGCTCCACCAGTCTTCTAGGTGCTCCACCAGTCTTCTAGGTGCTCCACCAGTCTTCTAGGTACTCCACCAGTCTTCTAGGTGCTCCACCAGTCTTCTAGGTGCTCCACCAGTCTTCTAGGTGCGCCTTCAGTCTTCTAGGTGCTCCACCAGTCTTCTAGGTGCTCCACCAGTCTTCTAGGTGCTCCTCTAGTCTTCTAGGTGCTCCACCAGTCTTGTAGGTGCTCCACCAGTCTTCTAGGTGCTCCACCAGTCTTCTAGGTGCTCCACCAGTCTTCTAGGTGCTCCACCAGTCTTCTAGGTGCCCCACCAGTCTTCTAGGTATTTCCACCAGTTTCTAGGTGCTCCACAGTCTTCTAGGTGCCCCTCCAGTCTTCTAGGTGTTCCACCAGTCTTCTAGGTGCTCCACCAGTCTTCTAGGTGCTCCACCAGTCTTCTAGGTGCTCCACCAGTCTTCTAGGTACTCCACCAGTCTTCTAGGTACTCCACCAGTCTTCTAGGTGCTCCACCAGTCTTCTAGGTGCTCCACCAGTCTTCTAGGTGCGCCTTCAGTCTTCTAGGTGCTCCACCAGTCTTCTAGGTGCGCCTCCAGTCTTCTAGGTGCTCCACCAGTCTTCTAGGTGCTCCTCCAGTCTTCTACGTGTTCCACCCGTTTCTAGGTGCTCCCCCCGTCTTCTAAGTGCCCCACCAGTTTTCTAAGTGCTCCACCAGTCTTCTAGGTGTTCCACCAGCTCTAGGTGCGCCTTCGTCTTCTAGGTGCTCCACGTCTTCTAGGTGCGCCTCCAGTCTTCTAGGTGCTCCACCAGTCTTCTAGGTGCTCCTCCAGTCTTCTAGGTGCTCCACCAGTCTTCTAGGTGCTCCACCAGTCTTCTAGGTGCTCCACCAGTCTTCTAGGTGCGCCTTCAGTCTTCTAGGTGCTCCACCAGTCTTCTAGGTGCTCCACCAGTCTTCTAGGTGCTCCACCAGTCTTCTAGGTACTCCACCAGTCTTCTAGGTGCTCCACCAGTCTTCTAGGTGCTCCACCAGTCTTCTAGGTGCTCCACCAGGCTTCTAGGTGCTCCACCAGTCTTCTAGGTGCTCCACCAGTCTTCTAGGTGCTCCACCAGTCTTCTAGGTGCGCCTTCAGTTCTTCTAGGTGCTCCCCCAGTCTTCTAGGTGCTCCACCAGTCTTCTAGGTGTTTCCACCAGTCTTCTAGGTACTCCACCAGTCTTCTAGGTGCTCACCCAGTCTTCTGGGTGCTCCACCAGTCTTTCTAGGTGCTCCACCAGTCTTCTAGGTGCTCCCCAGTTTCTAGGTGCTCCACCAGTCTTCTAGGTGCTCTCTAGTCTTCTAGGTGCCCCACAGTCTTGTAGGTGCTCCACCAGTCTTCTAGGTGCTCCACCAGTCTTCTAGGTGCTCCACCAGTCTTCTAGGTGCTCCACCAGTCTTCTAGGTGCTCCACCAGTTTTCTAGGTACTCCACCATTTCTTCTAGGTGCTCCACCAGTCTTCTGGGTGCTCCTCCAGTCTTCTAGGTGTTCCACCATCTTCTAGGTGCTCCCCCAGTCTTCAAAGTGCTCCACCAGTCTTCTAGGTGCTCCACCAGTCTTCTAGGTACTCCACCAGTCTTCTAGGTACTCCACCAGTCTTCTAGGTGCTCCACCAGTCTTCTAGGTGCTCCACCAGTCTTCTAGGTGCGCCTTCAGTCTTCTAGGTGCTCCACCAGTCTTCTAGGTGCGCCTCCAGTCTTCTAGGTGCTCCAGCAGTCTTCTAGGTGCTCCTCCAGTCTTCTACGTGTTCCACCAGTCTTCTAGGTGCTCCACCAGTCTTCTAGGTGCTCCACCAGTCTTCTAGGTGCTCCACCAGTCTTCTAGGTGCTCCACCAGTCTTCTAGGTGCTCCACCAGTCTTCTAGGTGCTCCACCAGTCTTCTAGGTGCTCCAGCAGTCTTCTAGGTGCTCCTCCAGTCTTCTAGGTGCTCCACCAGTCTTCTAGGTGCTCCTCCAGTCTTCTAGGTGCTCCAGCAGTCTTCTAGGTGCTCCTCCAGTCTTCTACGTGTTCCACCAGTCTTCTAGGTGTTCCACCAGTCTTCTAGGTGCTCCACCAGTCTTCTAGGTGCTCCACCAGTCTTCTAGGTGCTCCACCAGTCTTCTAGGTGCTCCACCAGTCTTCTAGGTGCTCCACCAGTCTTCTAGGTGCTCCACCAGTCTTCTAGGTGCTCCTCCAGTCTTCTAGGTGCTCCACCAGTCTTCTAGGTGCTCCTCCAGTCTTCTAGGTGCTCCACCAGTCTTCTAGGTGCTCCACCAGTCTTCTCCTGACAATCTTCTCCTTGATTACATAGTATACACATCAGTAACAACGGTTTATAGTTTAATGCTTCGTGTCTGGGACTACAGTTGCTGTCTTCCGGACCTCAGGTAGTCGCACAGTTTGGATAGATGTGTTGAACAATGTTGTTAGTGGTACACAGAGCGCCTCTGTTCTCTCTCTGAGGACCCATGACAGATGTTATTCGACCCATCGACTTTCAGGTATCTAGCTCGCTTAACAGCATCTTCACCTCCACCTTTGTGTGTATTGTGTCCAGCACTTGATGGTGCACCCACCTCTCTGTCTTTCTGGAGTCTCTTCTGTCTCTTCTGTGAATACTTCTTTGTACCTCATGTTGAACTCATAACAAACTTCAAGGTCGTTTATTGGGAGCTACAACTCTTGCTTCCTTCCTTCCTCAGCCTGATTACCTCCTCTTTGACTCTTGTTTTCCTCCTAATGTGTTGAGTGTAGTGTGTTGTGCGTTGTGTGTTGTGTGTAGTGTGTTGTGTGTTGTGTGTTGTGTGTTGTGTGTAGTGTGTTGTGGTTGTGTGTTGTGTGTTGAGTGTAGTGTGTAGTGTGTAGTGCGTTGGTGTGTTGGTTGTAGTGTGTTGTGTGTTGTGTGGTTTGTTTTGTTGTGTGTTGTGTGTAGTGTGTTGTTGTGGTTTGTAGTGTGTTGTGTGTTTTATGTAGTGTGTTCTATGTAGTGTGTAGTGTGTAGTGTGTAGTGTGTAGGGTGTTGTGTTTTAGTGTGTAGTGTGTAGTGTTAAGTGTGTTGTGTGTAGTGTGTTGTGTGTAGTTTTGTAGTGTGTTGTGTGTTGTATGTAGTGTGTTGTTCGTTTGTGTGTAGTGTGTAGTGTGTAGTGTGTTGTGTGTAGTGTGGGAGTGTGTTGTGTGTGTGGTTTTTGTTGTGTGTTGTGTGTAGTGTAGTGTGTTTTTGTGTTTTGTGTTGTTTGTAGTGTGTAGTGTTGTTGTTTTGTTGTGTGTTGTGTGTTGTTTTGTTGTGTGTTGTGTGTAGTTTTGTGTAGTGTTTGTGTGTTGTGTGTAGTGTGTTGTGTGTTGTGTGTTGTGTGTTGTGTGT